GCGGGGACACGGCGGGGACAGCCCCGGCACGGGCAGCGCACCGAGCCGGTAAGCGCCGCGCGGGGACGGGGCCGCGGTTCCTCCTCCCGCAGAGAGGGACTTTGTCTTGCCCATCCTCCCTCCCTCCCCTCCGCTGCCGTGGTCGGGGCCTCCCAGCTGTTTCCTCCGCTCCCCAGATGCTGGGGCAAGAAGAGGGCTGGTCCTTCCTGGGATAGCGCAGGGCCCCGGCGTGTTAGGGGTCCATCCTGAAAATGAGAGGGACAGAGAACATCTGGCAGGGGTTAATCCAGGTGAGGGCTGGCAGGAGGTGATGGGTGAAAGACTTGGAGCACTGCCTGGGCCAGCAGCGGGACAGGCAGTGTGAGTGACAGTTCCATCAAAAAATCAGATCTGATGGCAGCAAAAGGGCTACTGGTTGGAATTTTGCGTGTTTATTTTTTCTTGTAAGATGCTGTAGGGTCGTGGCAACTTCCCTGTAGATAGATGAGTCATGTAGTGCATGTGTGTCAACTAAGGCACAAAAAGAAGGAAAAGTATCCAGATTAGCACGAAGATCAAAGAATTGTCTTGTTATTGAGGAGTGGTGGACAGCTATGGTAGGTAGCAAGCTTAGTGCACACCTGGATGCTAGTCCTTTGCTGGATGTGGGATGCTAGGATATGAGGAAGTCAGCTGTTCCCATTTCTTGGCTAGGGTTCAGGTCCTGAAAAAGGTTGGATTCTACTGGGCTCATAAGTTCTTGTGACTCCCAGTGTGAGAGGTGGTGGGTCAAGAGTTCAGGCCATGTGCAGCATCTTCTGCATTCCTCTAGGCGTTCTCAGGGGAAGAGCCAGGATGTACAGCAATCACTGCAGCGTGAACACAGGCCTAGCAAGAGATGCAGCTACGGAAAGGGAGATTGGTTTGACACTATACAAAGCTGAAGGTAAACTAAGTACTAGTACTTGGGCCAGCATAGTATCTTGGGTTTGGGGAGTAAGTGGTAGTTTGCCTTCAGGTTAATGGAGTGTACACAATGCCAAAGAATTTCCTGTCTCTCACCTACCTGATACTTAGTGTGATTCAAGAAAGCCACCATGAAAGGTGAGGAAGTTCGGCAGAGGAGAAAAGAGGGCAGGTCTAGGAACGGAGAGCGATCCAGGCACAAAGGAAAGAGCAAGGGTAAACACAGAGAGAGCCGGCTTGGCAGCCAGGAGGCAGAGGATGTCTCTCTGCATGCACAGCAGAAGCTGTTGGCTGAGGAGAAAGCGGCCATGGCAAAGTCACAGGAAGAGTCAGCAATCTCAATTTGCCTGCAAGTGCTCCTGCCATACCTCCTAGCTGGGCTTGGCATGGTCTTGGCAGGCATGGTTTTGGATTATGTTCAGGTAAGGGAAGGAAACTCATCTGACATATCTGATACGGGATAAGTGGGGGACTTTTCTTCCAGGCAGGGGATTTACTCTGGGATTGGCATAGTAAGGGCGAATTTGCAGCAGTTTCCTATGCCAGCATGTCCCTCAAAGTCAGCTATTATGTACTGTGCAGCTCTCAAGAGATGTGGTGCTTTTCTGGCTCCTTTCCTCTGGATAAAAAAAAGAACACAGTACTAAAGAGTACATGAAGGATGATTAGGAATGTGCAGTTCTATGCAGAGATCTCCCCTAGGTCCTGGGAAGAGGGTGGGTGAGTGCAGCCTCATGGCTGGGGTGGCCCAGTGCTTTCCTGCAGCAGATAGTCTGGTGACATCTCTCATGGATGTCACTCTGGACAGTCCTGCACCTGCCGCTTCCTTGCACAAGGCGTCAGCCAGCCAGCCCAGCACTTCATACAACAGCACAGCCCTGCCTGTGCACCACATCCTTTCCTAAGGCCTCACAGCACATGACTTGAATTCTTTAAGTCCCATTTCTGACTCTCTGGTGGTCAGGATGTGACCTTTCTTCCTATGGTACAGCAATACAGACCTTTAAGGCAATGACCATCACCTAATTTTAGACAGCTTAAAGCTGCAGTTAATTTCCAGATTATAGTTTGCCATGCCTTTGCACTCTGGGTTACTCTAACAGCATGCCTTTTTGTTAACCTTGTTATTTGACTAACTATCTGTGAGGTCAAACTACCCTGCCCTATCTGATACAGTGACATGGAAACTACTATGCTTACATTGACAGCTTTCACAAATGTGGAGCTGTGTTCCTTTGTCATTAACCCAGGGCTGAGCTCCCTGAGCTAGAAGAGCTATAAAGGCTTAGGAGTGACACAGTATCCTTAACTGACCTTAGCATGTACTTGATACACAGCAGAATGTCTAGTCAGATCACAGAACACCAGGCAAATCCAGAACCCAGTGTCAAATACTTCTTGTCTCCCTAGACATTATTCCCAAGAGTCTTGAACACTGAGCAAATAAGAACACCTTTTTTATTTTTTAGACTTTTTAGAGCTGCCTGTTCCTATGGATCTGTGACATTAAATGTATGTTTCTTCCTACTGTGAGTTATTAAAGTGTGAAATGGATTGCAGATGGGTTTATAATGTTGGAGGAAGACTTTTCCTTCAATGTTTCTTCCCTGGGAGTTTTTTTTTCCTAGGAGGAACTGAGCTACTAATATGAACAGAATGTGAGGCAAACCTCGTTCTCCTCTGAAACTGCATATGTCTGTTTTCTGTTTTTGCAAATAAAGAGCTCACTAAAAGCCATCATATTAGTGTTTAAAGTATGGGAAATCAACCCATGCAACCCATGCAATATCTCAGAGGAAACATGGCTTTTGGCAATTAGCACAGTGGCTGTTTGTGCATGACCATGGACTGCTTGAGCACATCTCATCAAGGACTTGCTGCTGCCCTTCCTTCCTGAGCCAGCCCTGGCCTTTGCCTGGCTCCTGCTGTTGTTTCTGTGGGACAGCACTGGATCCCTGAGAGTCCCTGGGCCCCAGGCACTTTCCATCTGCCTGCTTTCCACAAAAGTCCTCTGCCCCTTCCTAAAGTGGGGAGGAGAGGAGCAAGGTTAGAAACAAAAATACACTGCTTGATGGAGCAGGGAGCTCACAGAGTCAGGAGTGGTAGTGTTCGAGCCCCTGGGATGTGCAGTCCCTGAGAAGCATCGTTCCCCAGTGAGCCCTTGTTGTGGGAACAGTGCTGCCTGCTGCTAACACTGGCCCTCTGTGGGAACATTCACGGGTATTTCTGTCTCTTCTTTGCAGGGATGACAAGGTATGTATGAAAACTGTGCTCTCAGACACTTGCCATCTTTCTGTTCTATTTTTTGTACTGTGCCAGTGGATGGAGGATCTAGACCAGGGTCAGGACTCACCAAAGGCTGTTTCTGCTTTGACTCCTCCAGGACAGGGCTACTTGTTGAGTAGCTGGCAACATGAGGATAAGGTGTATCTGTGTGCAGAGAAGGGCAGCAGTGCACCTCTGCAGGTTTTGCCATCTGGAGTGGTAAAGCCATGAGCTGTTGGGGTTTTTTTTTTTTAGTTTTTTCACTAGCTAGTTACAATCTTTTTTCCACTGTTGAGCAATGCTCTCTTTCTTCTCAAACCTGATGTATCTTTTCTGGACAAATAAGGTATATTTCTTTGCCAGGAAAATGTGATGCATCTCTCTGCTGATAAATATGGTATAGCTCTTCATCAGAGGCTCCTTAAATGCATAATAAAATGACCCAGTGTACACACATGGGTCACCTGAACCAATTACCTCTCTGCATACTGATTTATCACTCGAGGGCTTTTTATGGTGCTTGCTTAGAAGGAGACAGATGGAGCGTGATAAACTCATAAACCCTGTCAGGCTGACGCTTTAGTACAGGATGTGTTGCTGCTGGGTTTTTTAATGTCATTTGAGTCATTTAGGCTTATTGATATTTCCTTTACATTAACTTTTCTGCCTGTCATCAATCCAGTTGGCTGATACAATGGCATGTGTGACTAGGTAGGCACATTATTAGAACTTGAAAACATATATTTTTGTCCATAAATTTTGTCCAGAAATTGTCTTTCCTTGAAGCCTCTGTGAATGACTAACCGGAACTGGGCCTTCATGCTGTCATTTCTCTCTTCCCAGCTGGTATAAAGAGGTTGGGTTGTGTGGTTATTACAGGATTTTTATTAACTTGACTCTTCCAGATATTGTGGGACTATTTTTACATTTAGATTAGCTGAAATGTACTCTCGTGTTAGCTTTCAGCTAACTGGACTACTGTTAGGTGGTGGAGACACATGTACACACCGAGGCAGCTGGGAGTGGAGGAGGTTTTAGGGGCTGTACCAAAATACCAGCCTAGAAAGCAGCGAAGGACAGAGCCTCTGTAGCTCACATTTGTTTTCCACTCTGCCTTGCTTCCAGGGAGATCTGCTCTGTCACCTCAGTTTGTGTGAATTCAGACCAAAGAAACCCTGTGTAAATGGCCGAGAGCTTCCTCAGTTCCCAATTTAGCTGCAAGCATGTCGTGTTCTCTCCAACTCCCCCGCAGTGCCGGGGACCCTGTCACAAGGACAGAGTCCACAAGCCTGAACTTTATATTAGCCTTTTTCTCTCTGCAGAGAATGTGAGGGAAGAGGCTGATCCATCCTGAATGGTGGTTTTAAAAGCTTTTGCACCCTCTGATTCAATTTGTTTGCCCAAATTACTTATTAGAAAGAAGCCCAAGCATAATACCATGGCTCTTTTCCCTACATGCTTGAATTTGAGCTGAAGCCTTTACAAAGCATGATACAATTTTTTGGCTGTATGTAGCCATGGTGCAGCTCTGATTTTTGACCTTGTATAAGCTGCTTAACCATGGAACGTCTGGGGTGAGACCCCCTCTCTCAAAGACAGTACCTTCCTGGGAGCGTGCAGCGTGTTTCACTTTGGAACAGGAAGGGTGAGCAGCTCACAGCGTGCCCTTTCTCTCCCTTGCCTGTCGTGCAGAGAGATTATGGAGCTACCTTAAATAAGCTCCAGCTAGGACTCTTATCTTGGCCTTTGCAAACTAGCAGAAAGTTGAAGTGATGACAGCAGATAAGGGTGTTCGCTTTTGAAGCTTATTGGCTGGTTCTCTGAACTTTTTTTTCCCCTGGGAGCCAGTCATTCAGAGGTTCAGCTGGCACAGCCCGATCGTTCTGCCCCGCGGAGCCCACGGAGCAGACACGAGGGGCTGGGGTCTGGAAGGGCAGATCTTGTGTCACCAGCTGTCTCAGCTGTGTCACCTGCCCGGGGATGAGACCTGCGTGATCCCGTCAGCTGAGAGAAACGCGGGCTCGTGTTTTCCTTGACCTTTCTTCACCTTGGAGAAGTGCAGAATGGATCGTGGTTGGTAACTCCCCACCTCCCGGGCCTCGGGACAGTGAGGAAAGTTCAGCAGTGCTTGTGGTGGGAGCGAGGGAGCTGGGCTGGTTTGCAGCAGGCTTACACATTAAACCATCGTATCAAACACACGCCGCGCTCTGACGAGAAATGTAACCCGAGGAGAAAGGACACCAGTGTGTTTGAGCACGCTGAGGGATTCTTGTATGACCTGTCACTCTTTCAGTGCTGTAGCCTGAGCAGGTCTTACTGGTTTTTACCGAAGTGGTGGGAGCTGAATGGGGTGTGGGCTCATTTCTATTCGTCCACAGGCATCTCTACAATCTTCTCTTCTCTTTTTTAATTCCCCCCTGGATCTAAATCAGAGAAATTGTGTCCATCGAGTTTGCTGCCACCTGGGCTCAACCCAGCTGAACCAATTTTGGAGGATACCCTTGCTGCGATCGTCTGGACGTGCTCCTAGGAGGAGAAGAAACTAAAGGAATTTGGCATCGTTGCTGTAGTTTGAGGAAAAACATTCCTTCTGACTTTGGAGAGAGCTACAAGGAGGATCTGTGTGATGTCCTGATCTTCCTTCATTTCCTGCTGAGCATGGGGTAACAGTGTGTGACCATGGTGGTCACCCAGTTACAGCTGGAACTGTGCTTCCACGGCAAGAAGCTGAGAGGTTTCACCTGCAAGTTGACCAGGTCAGCCAGTGGATTTCTCCCAGAGACTTCATTCTCCATTGCCTCCCAGATTTTTGTGCCGTTCCTTCTGGCTGGCTTGGGAATGGTAGCTGCTGGCCTCTTGATGGATGTTGTTCAAGTAGGTACCTGTGATTAGGCAACTTGTAGTGAGAGGGTGGGCTAAGGCTCTGACCTTGAGTATTTGTGCTTGTTTGTTTCTAATGAGTGTGGTCCTAGCAGCCAGTCAGCAATGTGGCTGTAGGCTTTTTCTGTGCTGGAGGGACACTGCCCACCTCCTTTAGATCAGTAGCTGGGCTCCTTGTAATGTGGGATACTGGTTTTCAGATGGCTGCCTAACACTGCTCTGGGTGAGCTAGACTGGGTGCTCCCTTTTCTCTATCGAGCTAAACGCTTTGGTAAAGATTCCTGTGAAGCAACTGGATCAGGCTGCAGCATATTCTCCTGTTGCATGATATCGTTTCTTCAATAATTGCTGATAAGGAGATCTAGGTCAGGGTTGTTATTAACTACATGTTTTACTAAGAGGCAAGTTCATGCCTTCAGTTCTTTGCAAACAATGTAATGTAATCTTTGGTCTAGAAAGCATTTAGATACTGTGATGAGAGGCATGCCACCATAAAATGATTAGCATTGCCTACAAACTGAGTGCTTCTTGGGCAGTTTCTGAAGTGGGTATAAATTTAGAATAAGTTCCACTGACTGCCAGGGAGTGCTGCTGTGTTTACACCATTGTGCCCACAACCAGGATCTATCCCATCCATCTGTCTTTCCTTTATACCAGTGGCACAAATAGAAATGAAAAATTTGATCTAGATTGGGCATCTCGTGCTGGTGGATTTGCAGATCAAAAGGCTGGCAGAGTTTCCCAAGGATATATCCTGCACTCTGAGCTCACTGGAGTACATTGGATTCTCTGGCATTAATACCACAGGAGGGGCTAAATATGGATACTTGAATGTTTGGAAAGACAATACCTTGCTTGTTTTTTTCCTTCCTCTGGAAGAAACAAAGAAGGCAGAGAAGTCAAACTAAAGGCAACACAAGGAATATCAAGAAGGGTTAACTGGAGTGGCACAGGCTGTTGCTGTGCTGTGTTTGTCATCTCCACCTTGTGCCGTGCTTATGCACAGACCTGTCCTGCAGCATTACAGGAGTTCTCAAACTACCCAAGATGTAAAGTTAATAGTTAGCATTTGTCTCAAAGAAGGAGAAAGACGTAGCACATACCCACTCTGTACCTGGGAGTGAATAGGTCTTTGTCTAGAAGAAATCAATTCACTTGCTAAGAACTGAGCTGTGTTCAAAAATGTAACTGTATCCAAACTGATGGGAAACACAAGCCATGTATGCCTGCGTTGCACTTGTCCTTTAAATAACAATGTGCAACCCAGTTTGTGTATTTGCTCACTTGACTCCTAGAAATGGGGTCAGGTGTAAACCACAACCACAGGAAGTTTATATTTTGGTGAACTATGTTGAAATAGAAACCGTCAGTCCATGGGTTCAGCTCCCAGAGGAGGGAGCCCAGTTTTTAGCTATGCATTGAGAGTCACAACTGGCACAGGAGAGATGTTAGAGAGGTGAGCTGCCATGGTACCAACAGCCCCATAGCTGAAAACAAAGCCAGTAGCTGGGAGAATGCAGAGATCTTAGCCTATAAAGGTTTAGGATATTCTTCTGTGCTTCTTTGTCTTTGAGCTGTTTATTTGCAACTTCCTGCAAGTGTGAGAGCTAGAAACTCACAGTCCTGTCCAACAAAAACCTGACACTAAGTTTGTTTGCTTGAGGCCAGGTACCATAAGACTCAACATTGCCAGTCATGAGGGCTCACATACTGAAACTACAGGTTCTTCAAGTCCAGGAGTCTGTGATTTGCCCATTTTCTAGTGGTTCTTCTGGCTAAGGAACGTTTTCTCCTATTTGTAGTGACTGCAAAACATTCTTAGGAAACTCTGTGTCTGCCTTGGACAGGGAGATATATGGACAAGCTTAAGGACGGTATCTAGAGCATAGATAATACTGAGTTTAATCCTGCTGCCCTTCTTTTATAACATACAAAATATCTTGAAATAACTTGATTTTGTGTTGTGAGTCCAGCTGATGCTCTCTTTTGCAGGGCTCACGTTGCTGTAAAGAGAACAAAGTGTAAATTACTCATTCATATCCTATCAAATTTCTCAGGATTTTATCAGTTTCTGATCTGCTCTGGGATGAAACCAAGAACTGTACATATTATTGTTGAAAAGAAAAATCAGCAGAAGAGATTAATCTAGCCCAGACTCTAAGGCTCTGACCTGGGTCTCCCATGCTGCAGGAAAAGGATGCCCAAAGAGGCAGATGTTTGCCATTGTCTCTTCCTGTGTGTGTGCAGGTGATGCAGACTCTCTGCAGGGCTGATAGCATGGCACAGGTTTTTTCCTTCTGGACATTTCTGCCTCTGTTCCAGTGATCCTTGGCCCACTGGTCCATCTGGATTCTGGGCTGGCTGGCATTGCTGGAGACCTTGCAGGGCCCTGCCAGTGTTTGGTCCACTTTTTTACAGTAAGGTGAAGAATCATATTGAAGTTGGATGATCAGATTTCAAACCAGAGAATTCAGGAGGAAAGCTTCCCTTTCATTTTCCTTTTCCATGCCACTGGAGTGGGACACAGTCCAAATAAAAGTCACAGATATAAGGTATCTCTTTCCTTTGTTGACAAAAGCCCATGAGATGATTACTTTGAAAAGGATTTTGAATTGGCTTGCATTTTGTACTCCAGGATATTTTGATCTTTCCATTGACTTGTTCAGAGCAATGGAAAACCTCTGAGGCTTCTGAGCTGCTGCCATGGGAGCTGGATGTCCTGGGGAGCTGACAGGACGTGGTTGGGTCTGTGAGGACAGTGTGAGGAGCTCCAGCAGGGCTGCACTGAGGCTGGGGGGGCTGGCTCAGTGCATCCATGACCTCTCCTCCTCTGAGGGACCCCACGAGCAGATCGAGCTGCTGTGGGCAGAACATGGGGCTCACCAACCTTCTTCAGAGCTGAGTAATAGGGCTGGAACTCCATTATGAAAATGTGAAGTGGGAAAGAGTCTCTTTGTGGCTCTGTGTCCCCCTGTGTGGGTTTGCAATGCTGCATGGAATATTTTTGTTCTTTCTAGGCCAGTTTCCGTCTCAAAGGACAGAAACATTTCCTAGGCTTTCTCCAGGTGTCTTCATTTGGGTAGCTGCTTGCCTGCATGGCTCCAAACTGCCCCACTCAGCCACTCCTCCAGCTGACAGTCCTGCAAGGTGATGGCACAGGCGTCATCAGTTTATTCTGTATTTCCCAGTCACCAACACAATGGAGTCCTGGCTGTTGAGGTAGAAATCATTGTGAATCTGTCCTCAGGCTCTTGGTGAGTCACTAATGAGACTCAAATTGAGGCAATTAAGTCAGCTTTTTTTTATTAGTACAGTTGTGTGATTATTAATTGTTCAGAGCTTTCAGGTGTAATTATATGTAAGGCAGAGTCCCAAAAAATCATACCTCATATGCTGAAACTTCTGTTCTGATGGCTTGAGACGGGCAAAATCTATTATTTCACAAGGGTTGGAGCTTACCTAGATATACCAAAGTCATATTTCCCAAAGGTGACATGCACAGAAAATACAAACAGTTGAGTTTTTTTGTTGCTTTCTATTTATGTCTTTTTATGTGCAAAATATGCAAGGTCTTAAGTATGAATTTCTGCATGCCTCTGTGCTTTAAGTGATTGAGGATTTTTACATTGTGACTATGAAGTCTGTTTTTTCTCCTCTTTCTTTTGAAGGTTTCAGAGATGTGGTTGGATCTTTATTCTTAATTAAAGAGAGGAGAGAGTGGGATATGAATCTTTAAAAGACATATCTACCTCTAGTTTTTCTCAGGTATTTAAGTTCTATGTTAACAAATTTAAACAAAACTGCAGTGTGTCAAGTAAGGGAACATTTTTTGTGTTGTTGTTTGTTTATTCAACAGTAACATACCTTGAAACATTTTGAAATGTGCCTATTTCCAGGTCACCACTGCCAGGAAAAGTGCCTTTTTTATACTGATAACAACATTTTGCCTGTGATCTGCATTTCTGAGGTGCCTTGCACCACATGCTCAGGACTGGCTCAGCCCCAGTTTCAATTTTCTTGTCTGAGAAGGAAGCTGTGAGGTCTTCCCAGCAGACAGACACCACCAACTTCCCACAGCTTCCCACAGCTTCCCATGGCACAGCCAGAGAAAAACACCAAGCTGTTACAGCCTGTATATATTTCCTAACAGGCTGGCAGCTGAATGTGTCACCATTTGTTGAGTCTGTCCAACTGCCTGGATATTCAGGTTTATAGAATCCCAGTGATGTGAAAAAGGTGGGTAGGGATGTGCTGTTGTTTTGTCCTCTAGTGCCAGAACTCAGGACCACCGTGGGTAATAGCCAGTGACAAGTTGGAAATAGTGAACAAATTGATTCTTCATGTGATGTGCAGCTAAACCATGGAAATTTTTGCCACAGGGTGGCACATGGGTTGGAGGGGGGAGTTTGGAAGAGGATCTTAGAGGGAAAGCCTTTCAACACTGGTAAGTGTGCAGAAAACCCCTACCAGCTCAGTACCCTGTGGTAGACAGTTATAGTCTGGAAAACACTCAGGGGAATTATCCCATTTACTTGTCATTTTTGTAGATTCCTGTTTTATACACCCAGACTGGATTATTGTCAGACCTAAGGATGGGTTAGATGGACCTTTGATCTGACTCATTGCAGCCACCCTTTTTTCCTTGTGTTCTGTTCTTAGATGTTGGGCTCATTACTTTTACTTCATGCTGAGTGGCCCCATTCTGTGATTTCATCCTGATTAAACCTCTCTGGCTACAGCAGGACTTTGCCAACACCATTGAATGCACAGGGGAGGAATGAATTCTATTCCAAGGCACTGTATAGTGCAAAATTAGAGAAGGAATGTCAGTCAACAAAGTTTCTTACATTTCCACTTTGTCTCTGGTATTGCAGCTGATTTAACAGGTTTGTACAATTCAGCTTCCAAGGAGCAACAACAGCCAAGACATTGGCCTGGCAGTTTGGCTTATGAGATATCTTAATTCAAAACCTTTTTCCAGCTGTAACGAGAGTGTATTTGGTAACAGGAAGATTTAGAAGCTGCTTGTGCAGAAGAGATGCAAAATTCCCATTCCCTCCCACCACCAGTCTTAGATGCTTGGCTAGAAGTTTGGTAGGAAAAGACAGACACAACTTCTTGTTATGAGTTTGGTTAGCAATAGAGGCTCCTGTATCCAGTGTCAGTGCAAAGGATGGAGAACATGCTCTATTTCATTTGGCTTGTGAACCATAATTACTTTTAACGTTGGTCTTGGCTGGTGCTAAAGGCAGAGTTTAATTTGGGGGTTTCCAAAATCTTCTGTTGCCCCTAGAAAGATCCTTCCCCATTAGGGTAGTGCTCTGTTGTGCATGAGATGAGAAAGAATACTGCAAGCTGAAAATTCCTTCCTTCACTCCCAAAATGCAAAACATAAAATGCATCAGGGCAGCATCTGCCCCTGTGTGCACAGGATGCCTGGAGGTGGTGAGACAAAAACCTGCTGCCCTGGGGTGCAACAGCATTGGACTGGTCAGCATCACAAACTGAGGTCTTTGTTTTCTTCCAGCACTGGGATGTGTTTCGGACAATTACAGAAGTGTTTATCCTGGTTCCTGCCTTGGTTGGCCTGAAGGGTAATCTGGAGATGACACTGGCATCCAGGCTCTCCACTGCTGTGAGTGTTAACAAGCTGGTGGGGGGTGTTGGGAGGGGGGTGGTTAGCAGGAAACATCAGGAGATTCTTCATTTATATAATCACACTGTGTATGAGAGATGCCCTTTTCTGCTAAGTAGAAACTAGTGGGGTGTGAGCATTAAAATAATGTGTATGCCCTCATTTTGTAACTGGAACAGAGAATTTCCATCTGCACTTTGAAGGTGAATTAATCCCTGGGTGGCCACTTGCTGATATTTGGGGCCCTGTGACACATGAAGGAGACAAAGCCAGGGCTCCACAGCTGTCAGCTTCAGTACTGGATTGCTTTTCTGTGCCTATTGATCCTTGAGGGTTTCCCAGCAATCCTACCTCGGGGGGAGAAGACTGAGGCTTCTCAGAACCTGCAGCAGCTTTTGCTGCTCTGTATTTGATCTCTTCTATCTCCCCTACGCAATTTTGTTTACTTTGGCCTTTTTTTATTATGCCTCAGGAGAAATTGTAGCTTACCAGAGCAATTTAGGGGGAACAAAGGCTGAAAAATGGTTTAATTTGTTCAGCTTCTTGTGTGTGTGGGCTATGGTGGATATGCCCACTTCACCTTTAACTGGGTGCCCTGCAACACCTCTGGACCTCCAGAGTGAGTCTCTGATGCCCCTGGCACACTGGGCTGGTAGAAAAGTACCAAGAAGGAAGTTCAGGGAAGTCTGGGAGATGGTGACCTGCATTTGCCCCTGTCTGACCCCCAGGGACCAGGTGAAACTGCCTTCAGCAGCCACCTGTACCACAGAAACAGCTTTTCAGGGTATCTCTCTTGACTCCTAGGCTAACACTGGACAGATGGATGATGCCCAGAAGCAATGGAAAATGGCCACCTGCAATTTAGCCCTTATCCAGGTGAGTCACTTCAGCTGGGAGATGAAAAAGTCGCTTTTCTCTTGCTATGCTGCAGATCAGCAGCATCTGTTCCAGCAGTGCTGGATGCAGAGCTGGTGATTTGGGGCAGGTATCCTCAACACAGCCAAGCAGAGCCAGGATTTGACCTCCAATAAAGCTCTGTGTGGCCCCAGAGCTTGTAGTCTAGCTGTAAAACACATCTAAACATTCATTGTCTTTGTGGACAAACGGAACTAATAAAACTCCTTTTGCAGCAGGAGCTATGGCACAATCCCTGTTCCACAGCAGCCTCTGGATAAAGCTTGTCATTTACTGGCAGTGTTTGGGAATCAGCCTTGGGCAGGAGGGAAGAGATGGGAGAAACTGCCTCATGTAGCTCCTTCTGCTTGCTAAAATCCAGGAACCAGCCTAGAGTTTGCACAAGGCAAGACCACAAGGCTGGCAACATGTGTCTGTGTGCTTTCCCTTATCTCCCTCTGCAGCTCCAAGCTCCCCAGGAGTGCAGTGCTGATGGGGAGCCCATTTTTGTATCAACCAGGGCTATTCCTATGCCAATGGACTCAGTGTCCTTTGCTGAAGTGTTATCTGCCCTTTGCAGGCCCCCAGAGTTTTTCTCCAAACTTTGACATTGGATTTCTTTTTTGATCTAGTGGAGCCTTGCAGGGATGCTGTTTAAATACTCAAACAATCAGCATCTGTGCCAGGCTTTGCCCTCCAAGCTGTGTGGCAGTGCTGCAGTCGTGTGGAGCCAGGGCTGCCTGGGAACAGATGGGATGAGTGCTCACCAGCTGTCCTTTGGTCCCCAGGTCCAGGCCACTGTGGTGGGACTTCTGGCTGCTGTTGCTGCTGTGTTCCTGGGAGCCATCTCCAAGGGCTCTGTGGAGCTGAGCCAGGCTGCTGTGCTGTGTGCCAGCAGCGTGACCACGGCCTTCATAGCTGCACTTTCCCTTGGTGAGTGGTTCTGTTTCCTCAGATCAGACATGCAGCACTCAGGTGGGGAATGAACTGTCCCTTCCACCAGAGAGGCATCTTTCTGGTCTGGCAGAGGGAGGAGGGATGCAGGGAGCTGTGTCTGCTGCTTTCATCCTCTCTGCATCCTGCCTTTGCTTCTCTTCCCCATGATCTGTGGTTCACTGGGCCCTCAGCATCCGCAGGCAGCAATCAAAATGTCCTTCAGCTGGCACATGAAAAATGCCCCAAGCTATGTGTGGGTGTGCAAACACCCCCACTCTGTGTCTCCTGGGTGTCACACGAGCCATCTACACTGGCCCTTTCCCAGGGGAGGGTGAAATAATGTCACACAGGGGGCAGAGGGTCTGTCAGCAGACAAATCCAGACCATGCTCGAGATGGACTTGGGTCACCCTACACCTGAGCAGGGCTGTGGCCAGCCCTGTAGCTTTCCTGCTGTGAGCTGGGAAGCAGACAGTCCTCTCCCCATGGCTCTTCCCCTTCCAGGGGAGCATGATGGGCTGGACAGTAGTTCCGAGTGGCCTGAAGATCTCCAGTTTGCAGGTCTGCCATAGGAGGGCAGCATGATACCCTGAATAGAGGCGGCTGCCACAAAGGATACCGCGAGTTCTCTAAATTAAAGGGACGAGTTAGAACAAGTGCTTATCCCAAAGCTGGACTGAAAGGGGGATTGTAGATGCCTTTGATGGAAAACGTGGGATGAGGCAGTTGTTAAAAAAACAGCAGCTCAGCTTTCATTACTCTTCCCTACAATGTCCCTGCATGGTGTGCTACAGAGAGGCTTTGCTGCTGCACTGTCTCAGGTTTGCTGCTGACATTATTTTCCCTGGACACGGTCACAGGCAGGCTGTGTGTGGGTGTGCACGACAGGAAGCTGCTGGTTTTATGGCCAGGGAGGGACAGCATGAGCTGTGCAGTGGGGAGGGGAAGGTGGGTGTCTGGGAGGGCTGCTGTGGAAATGTCATGTTGTGTGAGGATGTGTTTTTGTATAAGGGATGTTGTATCAGGGAAGATGCACATGTGGCATTTCTTGGGGTACAACTGATGCTCCTGTGCATGCTCAGCTTTGGAGGGGCTGTGTAGACAGGCACTGAGAGGTTGTGAACTGGAGGGAATCACTATTTCTCGGGCTTCCTTTGGTGCAGCCTGCCAGCCACGGAAGGACTTTGAAGGGATGTCTTATGTCTTGTCTCAAGGCTGCCTTTGGTACTTAGCAGTGGAGCCTGGCCAGGCAGGGCTTATTCCAGGTGCTCCTTCCACAGGCCTGTGAGAGATCTGATAGCTGAGGGATTCCCACATGGTCATCAGGGTTTGGGATTTGTGCTCTTAAATTTCCCTGCGCAAGCAAAACTTCCCTTCTCCCCAGAAATGCTGGAAAGCAGCTCAATATTCCAGGTGCACCTCAGAGGACAAAGGAAGAGATGTGGGCCACCACCCTTGAGTCTGGAGCTGTTCACTGCACCAGTATCCACCTAGTACAAATTAAAGCAGCCCCAAAGACTCTAGGACATCAGGGCTCAGTCTGATGGCTGGCCTGAAAGGCTCATGCAGGCTACTGTAAGGAAGCTCATTGCTCCTTAGTGATTAAAACTTTGAGAAATTTCAGTCTAATATGGAAAATATCTTTGTGCTGTGGAATCCAGAGGAGGGGATGGCACCAGGAGGCTGCTGCATGCCTTCTGTGTGCTTATCTATGAGCCTGCTTCGTGCCTGGTCCTGCTTCAAGGCAGCAAAGATTAGGCTGCTCAGGAGGGGAGCTTCTACACTTGGGCTGCCTGCTGGTATCTCCTTTGATCCCTGGAATTTGCTTGTGTGCCTCTGGGCCCTTGGTGCAGTTTATAAGGACAGAGTCATGCACTTCAGGTTGGCGAAAACAAGAGGACAAATTTCTGGGGGTGTCCGGTCTCCAGCTGCACCGTGCTGTTGTGGGTAATGTGCTTCTTGCTTCTCTTAGACCCCCACGTCCCTCTGGGAACCAGAACAGCAGCTCTGGGGTAAAACACAGCAGAAGGCTTTCTCTAATGCCAGCTCTATGTCTTCTCTAGGTCTGGTGATGATTGGTGTGATCATCGGAGCAAGGAAAGTTGGGATCAATCCAGACAATGTCGCCACACCCATAGCAGCGAGCCTTGGAGATTTGATAACCCTCTCCCTCCTTGCAGGAATCAGCAGTACACTCTTCAAATACATAGGTACAGTGTTCAGCAGGGAATTGCAGCTCAGCAAGGGAGCTCACAAATCCTTGTGAAACTATTGCAGGCAGCCTCTGCATTTCTGGTATGTTTCAGAATGGAGGCTATCATGCCACTGGGGTAGAAAAATGACCAAAGAGGCTTTTTCCAGACTCTCTTTTAGTAACAAACTGGAAGGCAGAACCTAATAAACACAACTGGGATTTGTCAAAGAAATGACCAACATGTATTGTGCAGCTCTGCAACAGAAGGCTGACATATGTGACACTGACTCTGTTCCTCAATCTGTCACTAGCCAAGCAAAATTACTGCCTGTGCATGGCTAATAGCAGGTCCTTCTTCACAAGGCAATTTCAGGGTTTTGGCACTAGTAAAATATTCTTGTATCCTCTCACATGAAGAGTCATGGATGAACAAGGTATTCAGCTGGAGGGAAGTAGTCTGCAGTGTTTTGTGTCTGCAGGACTCTGAGTAGGAGTTGTGGTCTGGGGCTAGCTGTGCTGCTGGTTGCCAAAGGCTCGGGCACCTGATGGTCCTGAGAGGCTCAAAACATGGGTGATATATGTCTGTTGCTTTTAAAGTGTTAGGCTACTTCCTGTGAGCCTAAGCTAGAACAGGCAGGGGAAAATGAAAAGATCCAGCAAACTCCATACCATTTGAAACCCAAACTGTTGCTTCAGACTGAGCAGAAGCAGTGAGGCAGCTGTTCTCAGTTTGCATAACTCATTCCATGTGCAAGCACAAGTGAGGGAATGAAGGAGCACACACTGCAGGAAGAGGCCTATGAATCGCTTCCATCCACTCCTCCCTGAGCTTCAGAGGTGCTTTTTTTTTTAATAGGATTTTTCCATGATGCCATCACACCTGCCTCCATAAAGCTAATCTGTCTTTCAATTGCTGTGCCTCAGATAATATCTCCCAGGGAGCACAGGGTCAGAACAACATGATAACCTCTGTGGCTGTGACCAGAGAGCATTTCTGGGGTTGACAGAGTAGTTTAAAGAGCCTCTTGAGAGGCAAAATAGTCAGCACACAGACACCAAGTCATTGGGAGCATGAAGGGAAGCAGGCAGGAGGATGGCACTGCTGATGGTGCTTGAACAAATCCATTTCCCTGCCCAGTGTGTAAAAAGGTACAGGTCACACTTGGAAAACTTCTGGGTCCTATCAAAATGTATATGTATCCTTCAAAAATACTGAAGAGTCTGTGATGTTTGAAGTACTGTGTGCCACATGATATAGCACATTCTCCTTCTGCAGACTATCCTCTTCCCACAGAAGATTCTCAATTTTTTTTAAAATTGCCTCTGGTCCTTCTCAGTCCTGCATAAAGGAGATACAAAGTGGGCCAAAGGGTTTCAGCTTGCTTATGGGCTGCCTGTGAGAGAATGTGGCAGAACTGGAATGAGGAGCCTGAAGATCATTCATCCTACCAGGAGTCTTTCTGTGGGCTCTGATAAGGTTTGATCACCTCCAGTGCTCTGTGTCTGCATTATCTAAGAAGGAATTAATTGCTCAAAACTTCATGTGGTGTGGGTAAGAGGCCCAGTACAGCAGCTGTCTGTTGTTGTACTGTTGTTGGGGGACAACCCACTCGTCCTGGATGACTCCAGGGGGCAAAGTGCACAGAAAATACTCTAAAGTCCCCAGGAGTTGTGTTTCAGTGTCCACTGAAGCCACTCGTGAGGAGTTGCACCTCTTTGTGTAAGAGCCTTTCATTCACAAAGGATGCCATCACATCAGTGCTGTCGCATCCAGGTAGCCCAAGGCTCTGGCAGTGGTGTTTTTAAAAATGCACACTTTGAGCTGCTTCATCTCCCAGATTACCTGCAAAGTCGGCGTTACATCCTGCTGCCTTTGGCCCCAGCTCAGAGACCAGATGGAGAGCTTTGTTGAAGCAGCATTTTTGTATCAAAAGGGTTGGCACCAGCCCCATTGCTCGAAGGTGTTTCTCATGTTTCTGAGTCATGTTTATTTTCTTTTAGTGCTGCACATCTACTTATTTTTTAATTTCTTTGCTTCTAAAGATCACTCCAAGGCTATGCCTCTGCTGAATGGAAAAAGCACCTAATGGAAACACATTCAAGCTAGCACAAAAGAATCCCCAGATCTTAACTGGCTTATACGTGCCAGAGAACATTTGTTCCTATAGAGCAGACCAGCTGCTCAGCAATTCTGCTAGCTTGCCTCCTAAAGTACTTCTTACCTCTTCTTTTAGGTGAAAGTATGAGGTGTCTGCCCTAAGTGGGATACAGCTCACACACAGGAGTTTCCCCCTTGCCCTGCTATTTTATTTGTACCCTGAAGCCAGAAATTTTGTAACTTTTTGTCTCTCTTAGTTGGAGATGGAATTGGAGAGTTCTTTGTCTTTAAATATAACTTGCTTTGAATCCTGCTGATTTTCAAACAGCATCCTCTAGCAGTGAATTTCAGGGATTAATTATGGATTTCTGTGGTGGAGTGAGGTGGTTTTGTGGGGACTATCATGCTTCATGTGATTTTTCCTCTAACATAACTCAATTGGAGCAAGTCTCCTGCTGCCTTTCTTCCCATCTTTGTGCAATACAATTTTGGCAACCAGTGAAGCTACGGGTATTTAAATCAAGATTTCTTTTCCTATTCACATTGCCAGATGTGAAGTACCTTTCTCCTCTGATCTGTGCTGTCTTCATTGTCATGATCCCTCTCTGGGTTGCTATTGCCAAGCAAAGTCCTTCCCTGGCCGAAGTCCTGAAGTCTGGGTGGCAGCCGGTTATTGTTGCCATGAGCATCAGCAGGTAAGCGAGGCACTGCTCCCCACCCTGCCCTGTCTGCACACTGCACAAAGACCCTGGGCTCACTTAGAGGGTCAGAAATGACCCTGGGAGGGACAGCAGAAGGGTATTTGCCCAGAGCTTCTCAGCCACTCACTCTCCAACAGGCTGTGAGACAGCAGATGAGAAGCCCCCAAAGGACTGGAAAAAGCAAATCATTCCAAGTCTCACTTGCACATCCAGGCACCACATGGGTGAAAGCCAGGAAGCTGAAAGCACAGATGATGATCATCACAAATTGTCAGGCTTCAGCCTCATTCTTACTCAGTTGCAAAGAGAAAATACTGGTAAATGTAGAGCCAGGTAGTTCATTCCTCCTGTGCAACATCTTTCACAACCAGCTGAGATCTGGAAGAGAATTTTGTAAAACTGCTAAAGCCAGTATAGAAGTGTAAAAAACTTTGTGGGAGGATGATAAAGGTTTCCTAACTACTACCAGTTTTGCTTGGGGGTGGACAAGGAAGCCCTCCTGAACATATTATGCCATTAACAAAACCTGTAATGCTTTCAGTTGGTGAAAACTGAGCTGTAAAAGGAGTACATGGTGAACAGTCCAGCCCTGGCAATGGAGAAGATGCAGTAACCCATGTCAGTGTGCTATTTTCACAGTGTAGGAATTGCCCTGGGAAAAGATCGATCCACTCTGACTTCCTGTCCTTTTCTTAACAGCATTGGAGGGCTCATCCTGGACAAAACTGTGACTGACCCAAACTTTGAAGGCATGGCAGTTTTCACACCTGTGATAAATGGTAGGTTGGGCATGGGGGTTCTATGCATGCCTTTATTTTTACCCCCCCTTCCTCCCAAGCATTCTGATACCCACCATTGCCCCTACACAGTGTTCAAGTCCCTTCATGAGTGGATGTGAAGCTCCTGGTCCCCATCACATTCCTGTTATGTTTTGAACTGTCTCTGGAGCAAAATAGCAGCGAGGACAGAGCTGTACAAAAAGGTTAACAGCATCTCTGAGAGCTAGGTTGACACTTTTTATAACATCAAACCTACTGGGATGTCACAATAAATCCATTTTCCCTTCTTTCCTTCCCTCCACTCAGTGATTTGTGCTGTGCAGTCATCCCCTATAGAGACTGTTGATAAATATTAATATAATAAGATTATATATGTGCATGTATCTAAAAGATGATGAGTATGGATTGGATATAATTGGATTTTTATATATATTTCAACATATTTTATGTGTATATCTATATCTATATACCTATATATATATATATATATATATATTTTTTTTTTTTATATTCACAGTGCTTTTATACACATACCTATCAGTACAAACTGCTGAGGATCCTGGTAATCCCTGAAGATCCACTATCTTATCTTTCTGCTAATATAACATTCTTTTAGGACAGGCCCATTCCAAGGCAAGCCCAGGTTCCCTGGGCCTCATGCCACCCTCAGAGTGTGGTGTCCTGTTGCAGTGCCAGAGGGTGTCACCCTGCTGCCACCTTCCTGGATCTGCTGACCTTGCCTTGACTGTTTGTCACCTTGCTGACAAACCCTTTTCAGCATGACTAGTGAAGGAACCTGCTTGGGAAGGTCAGCAGCCATTTAGCAGAGCAGTGAGAGCCCCAGGCATGGCTCTGTGGGGACAGGTGACCCGTTTGGCAGAGTTGCTGGCAGAGTCAGGAGGTGCTCTGGGTCTTTGCACAGGCAGCCCTTGACCCTGCATGTGCAAAGTGTGGCACTGCATGGCTCAGACTGGTCCCATCTTGAGCTACAGTGAGACAGCCTGGGTATTTTCACTTTGATTCCCATCTGGAAAATCTCACATTTAATGATGATTTCTTCTCCAAGGAAGGGAAAGTATGAGAAGCCTGTAGCATCTGGCTCACCGTTATCTTTCCTGTGGCATTTCCACCCTGAAAATACTTAGGGTGGTGGAAGTTTGCTCCATAGCTCATTATCCTCTATTTTCTACTGGAAAATGTAGCTGCTTTTTAATGTTTACTTCAATTAATCAGTCTGGAAGGAATTAATTTACTTTAATTAGCTAACATATTTGGGTTCTAATTCATTCTCATGATGCTTTCTCACTTAACAAGTGTGTTAGGTACCTTCAGACAGACATATAATCACTCTCTGTGATGTTTTGTTGTCATTTTAACAATAATGGTTCTCTGAGTGAGTAAATCCAAGAAGTGGCCATGAGCAGCATCTGCACTGCTTTCCTCAGGTGCTGCTCACAAACTGTGTCAAACCAGGTGCAATTACATCATCTTCAGAGGCCACATGGCATTTACATCCATGCTGGGGAGAAAGGGAAAATGTTTTCAGTCAGCAGTCAGAAGAACACAATTACTGGAACCTTCCTGATTTTTAGGAGCTGTTCCTGCAGAGTGAATAGTGCAGTACCACTAAGGATGCAGGGATCAGGTCTTCTCTTTCTCTCACTGCTGCTCTCAGTGAATGCAGATCAGCTCACCTTAGGCTGGATTTTGGATTGATGTCTCCTGTTGTGGTGAAGGTGGGTTACAGGTTTTCTGTGTTTTGTCCTCACAGGTGTTGGGGGGAATCTGGTTGCCATCCAAGCCAGCCGAATTTCTACATTCCTGCACTTCTGGAGCATGCCTGGAGTTTTGCCCTACAAGATGAGGCAGAACTGGCCCAACCCATGCACTACATTCTTCTCATCAGGTAGACCCTGAGCCCTTGTTGTCCATGTCTCAAGGCCTATCATCACAGATAGTTCCTTTCCCAAGCCTGGTTGGTGAAGGACTAGGTGGGTTTCAAAGGCAGAACTTTCCCCTTCCACAGAGAATACTCAGATCAGAGAGGAAGCATCTTTGCAGTGGGCAGCATGAAAAAAAGGCTTATGGCATATTTGCTCACTGGCATGCAAAGAAATTTGCCTTCAGGGAGCACTAAAGAAAGTAATTGAAATAGAATCTTAGATTCGATCTAACAGAAAGTAATTTTAATGGCCAGCCTAGAGCCATCACCTGTGGACAGAGCAGTGAATAGACCATAATCTTGCAGAAAATCAGCAATTCCTCCATCTTCAGCACTGGAAATACTTAAGCATCAGCAAAACTCAATTTTGGGTCTGTTAGTCTTTATAGAGCTCCTCTTGATTTTCCCTGTTAGGTTGGGAGTTAGTGCTAGATCAAAATATAAGCTGGGAAAATGTGTTGTAGTGCTGCAGAGCAGGAGTTGATTCATCCTGCAGATGCTTCCTATGTCTGTCTGATCTAGAGAAGGCATTAGCAATGTGGTTGTTGAAAGGGGCAGCCCCAGGTTTATGCATTAAAATATGCAGTGTCCTGTCCTCCCTTCCCCCTCTCCAGCTGCTGTTACCTCTGTTTCTGTCTCTGTGCTCTGCAGGGGTGAATTCCAAGTCAGCCCGGGTCCTGTTCCTCCTGGTTATCCCAGGGCACCTTGTGTTCCTCTACACCATCCATCTGCTGCAGGGAGGCCACACATCCCTGTCCTTCACCTTTGTGATGTTCTATCTGGCTGCTGCTTTGCTGCAGGTAAGCCCCAAACTCTCATCCAAAAGGAACCTGTCAGATAAGATAAAACCAGTATTCTCCAGGTTAAAAAGGAGCCACAGTAAACCATTCAGCAGCAGCCTCTCATTTCAGCTCTCGTTTCAGCTGTGCTTCTACCAAGAATCATGTACATTCTGTAGGTCCAGTAATACTTCACCCAAATTGCCAGGCTCTAGTCTCCCACATGAGCACAGCTGTGCTTTAGGGTGAGTGAGGGATCAGGCATGAGAGGAGGAAAAAGTTCTCAACATCCACTGAGCTGCAGTAAGTGTGCAGAGACACTCTTAGCAAGGAAGCACCTTGTTTTAAAACGTTCACTCCTTGAGTCTCTAAGCTCCAAGTATTTCCAGGCTGCCACTAGTCACCCCAGCAAGGGGCAAAGTGAGGAGCAGGGAACTCCAGCCAGCAGGTTTCCTCACCCATTTTAGAAACCACTGTCACATATTGTGGTGAAGACCTAGGGAATCCCTCTGGGCAGGGCCATGTGGCTAAAACATAAAGGGAAAGCCCAGACCCTGTGCAGTTCATCTTCAAAAGTAAAAGTTCCTGGGAGGCAATGGGCAGATCATCTGCTTGTTCTCTTTTGCTGTTTTTCCTGCCCTGTAAAGTTTATTTTTCTCACTCAGAAATGCATGTGGCTGTTGCCTGAACTCAGAGGCTCTGACTTCACTTGCCCTTTTAAATCAGTGATTCATTAATTTGCATGATGAGGTGACTGACTCTCACTTTGCCTTACAAGCAGCCTTGTGTCTGAGGGTGAATTCCTTGTGTGTGTAAACAATCAGTTTTTCTTGACCTTTGCACAACCCTAAGCCCAGCAGCACAGGCACAGTTGTAAAGGAAAATATTCATTCTTCTCTTTATGCATCGAGGTAACTCCTCAACCAAAGCCAAGCATGAAAATACAAAGAATAAATGACAGCATAAAGAGCAGCATCCCAGCAACACCACTGCCCCTGGAAGATTCCCATGGAGGCCAGTGGAGGAGAATACACTCAGCCTGGCCCTTTTCTCCCCTCCATTATGCTTTATAAAGAAAGACAGAAAGAAAGAGGGTTGGGGGGAAAATTTGGGTCAATTGGAGGAAGCCCAAGATCAGAGGCCCAGAAAACATGACCTCAGAGGAGTGATTGAATGGACTGGGGTTAACTAGTCCAACGTAGAGAGGCTTGAGAAAAAAGGTTAACAGCCTTTAAGCTACCAAATTTCTGTAGGGAGGGACAGAATAACATTTGCTATGTGGTTACTAGCAGAGGAAACATGAAATCATAGATTTCAGATGGAAAAAGGCAGGTTTATGTTAGGCCTTGGGGAAACAAAAATGGAGAAAAAGAAGCCATGGGGCTGATTGCTTAGAGTGTGGCATCTCCATCTCTGAGGGTTGTTTAGCACAAGTCAAACCAATTTTCCATCAGGAAAGATGTGGATGTATTTGATCCTGAATTGAGGCAGACGAATTACCTATGTAACTTTTGAGTTTCCATCCAGCTTTAGTTTCTGTCATTCTGTTATTTAATTTGCTTCCCCCATCTCTCCTCCTCTCTTTCTCCCAACCCAGCTTGCAGTTTTCACCTTTAGAAATGCTGCTTCAGGCTTTGGTTACTGATGTGCTGTGGTCTCCCATGGAGGGACCACAGATGTGGGGTGTAAATACTCTCTCCCTTCTTAATTCAATTAACTAGACAGTCTTTAATCTTTAACCAAAGTATTTTTTTCTTCCATCTGTTTATCAGAATTGGGAATGAAATAAGAATTAAAAGAAATCACAACAAAAATTTTTAAACTGTCGAGATGAAACAAAGATTTTTTTTTCCTTTTTTTATTTATTTTTTTTTTTTAACATGTCAGTTCTGCTTGGGATATCTTTGATGTAAAAACTGCCTCAAACTCAAGTTGTCCACTGAGACTTTTAGGAAAAACAAAGTAGACATGATCTGAATTTCTAATGGAAAAAAGAAGGATGAAGAGGAAAAAACTCTGGCTATGAGCTTGTCCTTTGGGGTTGCCTGTATATTCACAGGAACCTTTCATCTGGTGGAGTGAGTGGGAGCTCTCCCATTCAAGGCACGGGAATAGGAACCGTACCTTTGGGAGATGTTTTTGGTGTGGTCAGGCTCTGGTTTGGGCAGGCAGTGATGGTGAGCAGTTCAAGCAGGGTCTCCACACTTGTGGCTGGCAGCAGAGGACTCTGGCACCATGGGTTATATGATGACAAAGGGTAGGAGGCAGCTACACCCATCCCATCCCATCCCATCCCATCCCATCCCATCCCATCCCATCCCATCCCTTTGTCTTTGAGCCGAGGTTTGTGTGTTACCTTCCCGTGCCTCA